AACAGTCATTTACAATTATCTGTGTCATCGCGGTGAGCACGTACTAAAGACAACATATAGCCATTGGCACGTGAGGATCCTGTCCAAGCAACGTTAAAAGGATGTACATGCCCGTGTCCACCCCCAGTCAGTTGACAGGCATCCTTCATCAATGCTTTACAAGGACCAACAAGTCGTTCTATATATCGTCCTTCGTCCAAGTTGACACACTTTTCAGTCAACCTAATTGCGCGAAAACATTGCCGTCTGACAGGACGAAAAGGTCGCCACCACGAAATTGCTCTCTTAGTATCGTGCACACTTGCCGCTCGCAAAACGTGACGTTTCTCTCTATGAACTTGAAAATCCGTACGTTGCACAATCGCTAGGAGAAAGTTCGAGGAGTAATTTCGAACATGAGATAAAATTATTCGAAGATAAAGCGCAATTTGTGTCGGTGTTTTTTCTCTTCTTTTGCAATGAATGTCTGCACGAGACGGTGAAGATTTATTTAAGTATCACGATTCGTTCTCTGAAGTAGATGAACAGGGTGAGTTTTTGATTTTTTTTTTTTCTTCAGATAAAATGCTACTATTTTGAATTCATTTGTTGGTTTATTAATTAACCCTTTCATAATTTGGCTCGAGTTTAACTTTGCTTCTAAGGTTTAATTTTAGTGCGGTCTTAGGGTGAAAAAGGACCCAAATTGAACGGAAGAACGCATAAGGGTTGAAATAAATAAAGACTGAACTGGGAAAGGGTTGAAATAAATAAGAACTGAACAGTGAAAGGGTTGAGGAGATTCACTATTTTTTAATAAAATATATGATAATTTTTCTAAATGAAAATATACCATAATAATTTAGAATAGTAGAAGAATATAAGTAAATAATAGAAGAATAATTTAAGCTCTTTAAATTCTCTGATATATTACTTACAATTCTTAACGAAAATGAGATTTCTGAAATATAAAAATTGATATAAAAAGATTCACACATTTAAAAATATAGCAATTTTTCCAAAATAATTGCAGGACATTTAAGAGAAAGTTTATAAAAAAATTATCGTGATAAGTGATTGGATCCTCTTTTCGAAAAAAAAAAAGGAAAGACTCGAGCTATCAAAGGAGCGCGCGAAGACAGTGGGTATTTTCAGAAGAAATCAAGATAAAGAGATCCGCCACAGATGAAATTTTTCAAACGAAGGTACCAATATTCAGGAATCGGTCATGATTTACTTGGACTGTCAATGTTTTCCGATAATGAAGCAGTATGGATAGAAATCAGACGTAAATGCAATCAGGACGTGAATACAATGCCGATTAAGCTCTACTATCGAGAATATTCGAAAACTGAGGAGGGGAACGAGGTAGTGCCGATCGAAGCCACTTACAGGACGACAGACAAAGCAACTCTCAACTATCTCAGGAGTCACGATCCCAATTTACCATATTTCATCAACACCGTGCACCTACAGAATCCGTATAAGCAAACTCAACGTCTGGAGGGATACGCCACTCGAGATAATTTCAGAGTTCGACCACCCTCCTTCAAGGTGATTTGATTAATTCCATTAATTAAAGCGGGGGAGTCCACACCACTTTGATCCGTCTTGAGCAATCTTCCTTTCGTTTTTTTTTTTACCGTAAGTTGGAGAATTTATTTCAGAAGAATACAATTAATGACATTTTTTTGTAACTTTTACGTTTCTTTTGAGTAGATTTAAAATTTTTACAATATTAGATCTTCCATTTTTTCTTACTTTTGTTTTATTTTCTGTACTCTTTATGCTTTTAGGTCTTCCATAGATCTTTCATAGATCCATAGACCTATAGATCATTCATAGATCCATAGATCATCCGTAGATCCATAGATCATTCGTAGATCTATAGATCATCCGTAGATCCATAGATCTTCCGTAGATCCATAGATCTTCCGTAGATCATCCATAGATCCATAGATCATTCATAGATCTATAGATCATCCGTAGATCCATAGATCATTCGTAGATCTATAGATCATCCGTAGATCCATAGATCTTCCGTAGATCCATAGATCTTCCGTAGATCCATAGATTTTCCATAGATCCATAGATCTTTCGTAGATCCATAAATCATCCGTAGATCCATGGATCTTCCGTAGATCTATAGATCATCCGTAGATCCATGGATCTTCCGTAGATCCATAGATCTTCCACTTTTTCTTACTTCTGTTTCATTTTCCATACTTTTTATCCATAGATCCATGGATCATCCATAGATCCATAGATTTTCCATAGATCCATAGATCTTCCGTAGATCCATAGATCTTCCACTTTTTCTTACTTCTGTTTCATTTTCCATACTTTTTATACTTTCTTCGATTTGTTACGAAATTTTGTATTACGTTATATTTAAAAAAAAAAATTGTTCTTCCTTTCGTTAATGTTCAATTCAATCGATTTTGTCAATTTTCGTATAATTAACATTTGTCGATTGTTCGTTGTTAAGTGTAATTCATTCTTAGCAATAATTTCTTTATTCCACGCGAATTCACATTGCCGCAAGATCATGTATCGATCAAAGGATACAACGTTAAGGTCCAGATACAACAGGAACGTGTTGTCCAAGAAAGAAAACGCTCTGACGCAATACTACGATCACGAGGAGGAGTACAAAGGCATCAGGTAACAGTGAAATATAATAGTACGAAATAATCGAGGTACAATTTCATGTAACAGAGAGATCGGGGGAAACAGTAAAATATTGCTGGTGAATTTAGCAAAGGTGAAAGTCAGCAATGTTGGAGCAACTCAGATATAAGAACCACCCTGAAGCAATACTGCACGAATAGTACTCTTCATGGTTTACGTTACGTCGGTGATTCGAACTTGTCGGCCGTTGAAAGGTAACCGTTTGCTGCTTGAATTAATTATTATACTCTGATTTCGAAACGGTAGTTGAATGTTTGCATTATGAGTTCGACGAGGATAGATAATTATAAAAAATTCGATGCGTTATTTTATCAATACTCTACACTACCTTTGCTACTTTTTAAAAAAGTTTTGCCATATCGTTAGAAATTTGCAAATTTGCCAAAGTATCTTCGCTATCTTTTTTTTTAAACCCACACGATTTGTGTTAGAATTTACAATTTCGCTATTTTTTTCGCAAATTTTAAAACTTGCAATTTTGCTCAAGTATCGTCGTTACTTTCGCAGAACTTAAACTCCGCCTAAATAAATCAGTACTTTCTCTTCCACAAGGGAACCAGATTTAAATTTCATTGCAATCTGTGAAAAATCAAACTGTCTCCTCGATAGGGTCTTCTGGATCATTTCTTTTTCTCTGGCTGTGCTAACAGCCTCTTACTATATTTGGTTCCTGTATCAAAAGTGGGTCTCGACACCCATAATTATCTCTCTCAGCCCGGAACCGGTGTCCTTGAACGAGTTTCCGTTTCCCTCGATCACCATTTGCAACATGAACAACGTGAAAAAGAGCGAGGCGCAACGCATAAGCGCCGGGTAAGCTTGTTCTCGAGTGTACTGATTAAAAAAAAAAAAAAAAAAATTTCAACGAATCGTTTAACTCGCAGAAATGACGCAAGAAAGAAGCTTTTGTTAGAGGACAGATGTAACTTCGAGAACAACTCGGCGACCCTGGATTTTGTCGAGAGTGCGATCACTTGGAACAGCATGCGGCATTTTATGATTAACGTATGTTGAAACGTTATAAAATGCACGTGTAACTTGTGGTTTTATCGTGATAACGGCGATCGATCATTTCCACATGTTCTATAGAACGTAGATTACAAAATGATGTATCTTAATGTATCTACAAATAGAAATTACAATTTTCAATTGTTTAAGATGCTTTTGTTGATATAAAATACGATGTTCTATCTACGTTGAAATAATATATATAATATATGTATATACTGATTATAAGATGATTACAATTATTATAATTCGAAGTACTGAAAAAAGATCTATCGATCATCGGTTATTACGAGAGAGCAACGATGTATCGTTTAACTTTTAATTTCATGCTCCTGCTAATTATCATTCCACAGGTGTCGCAATCCTGCACAGAGATGCTGCATTTCTGCCAGTGGCATGGGAATCTCACCGATTGCGAGAAGATCTTTAATCCAGCTATGACGGACGAAGGAATGTGCTGTAATTTCAACTCGGTTCATAAAAAATACTTGTTCTACAATCCGTGAGTAAATTTCATTAATTTTCAAGGAGAACAGATAATTTTTTGTAAAATTTTCATAAATAATCTTCTGCAATTTTTTAATAAATAATATAATTTTCAGTAAAATTTTAATTCATAATTTTCTGTATTTAAAACCAGAGATAAGAAATTTTTTTTAGTCTTCAATAGTTCGATATATTTTTCAAACTTTATCTAGAGATTACTGTGCTGAATTTTTCCTTTTTTTTCTTTTTCTCATAAGTTTAGAATTTTAACATTAAAACGAAGTATTAAATTTTGCTTACAGACGTGACTGGGCCGACCTCAACATCACGTTTCCACCTAGCAGCATCGATTGGACTCCAGAAACCGGCTACGAAGAAAACGCAGCTCCAGACTCTGTACCATGGAGACCCTACGGTGCTGGTCAATTTTATGGTCTAACTTTGGTACTTGATGCAGACATAGACGAGTATTATTGCTCGTCTTCTGCTAGCGTTGGTTTCAAGGTAGTATTAAACTAACGATCCAACAGGAAGTCTATAAACCACTCAAATATCTAATCTGTCCACAGTTATGTTAATGATACAGATAAACCATGTATTAGAAGTAGAAATTAAACCTATTTAGCTTTCATTTGACATAATCCACTATATTACAATATCATCAATTCTTCAGCAATTATTATAATTCAAAGTTCTCTACTTTCACTGGTTTAATATTATAAAGTAGCAAAAATGAGAAAAATTAAATTGTTTAAATAAAACTGGAAAATGAGAAATTAGAGATTTAATATTATAAAATAGGAAAAGTGAGAAAAAATAAATTATCGGAATAAAAATGAGACATTAGAGATTGAATATTATAAAATAGCAAAAGTGAGAAAAACGAAATTTTCAAAATAAAAATGGTAAATGAGAAATGAAAGAAAAATTACCTGGACTTAGTTCCAAGTATCACATTACACTTGAATAATATAACAACGTGGACGGAACGAGTAATAAGATTTGACGACAGAGAGCAAGTACGTTTCTGTGCAGATGCTGTTGCACAACCCGGTCGAGACGCCGAAAATCGCCGAATTCGCGTTCACTGTGACCCCGGGCGAGGAGACCAGGGTGATCGTGACGCCCCGGATATCGACCGCCAGCAAGACGATAATCTCTGTCCCACAGAGAAAGAGGAAGTGCTTCTTCACGTCTGAGAGAAAGCTGCGCTACTACAGAACCTACACTCAGAGGAACTGCATCCTCGAGTGCGAGGCGAACTTCACGCAAAAGATCTGCGACTGTGTCCAGTATTACATGCCCAGTAATTTTTTTCCCCCTCACAAATAACAATTCAAAAAGTGTGCCTAATTTTAGGCAACAATTTATCGAGATTCTAACAGAGACACGCTGAAATAAAAAGCTAACAATAATCGTTGAATTTATCGAACAAGCTTTGAATTTTACAAATACCAAAAATTATCGAACATCCTGTATATATAAAAAATTTCGTGACACCGTTTTATTTGATTTCAAAAGAACATGTAGATTCTGCTCACGTCAGTTTTATAATCTCCCTAACTTATCTCTGAAAATCTAGACATTGGGTCCTCCATTTTACCTCCAGAATCTTCCAACACACCCATCTGCGAGAAGAAAGATGATGCGTGCGCGACGAATGCTCGCAGAGCAATGGAAGTCAAACTTTATGACGACGACAGCGGCATAACTTCTTTCAACGTATCCGAGACGTGAGTGGTTCGCTTCACGCCATAAGATTCTTGCAAAATGAAAATTCTCGTTTGCAGACCAAGTTGCAATTGCTATCCTGGATGCTACGAGATTAATTACAACGTGCAAATCTCGCAGAGTAAATTGGTGCCTACTTTTGCCATCGCTGACGGTTACGTAAAGAAGAACAGAGAATATTTCACGTAATTCTATTTTTTTTTTGTTTTCAAGATGAAGTAATGAAGAATGATCGTTTTGATAAAGTTAGAATGTTGGTAAGGGTTTTTGTTTAACAGGAAAAATATGGCGGTGGTTCACCTGTTTTTCGTCGATTCTCAATTCACTAAATACGTGAAGAACGAGCTGTTCGGTTTCACAGAATTTCTCTGTAAGTGAATTATGATATTTTTTTGGGGAAATATTTCATCCGCATTAGCTAAGTTACTAAATACATTGATAACTACGGTCCTAAGGTCGGTATTAGTCGGTTATCTGTTCCCACAAGTTCCTGTTTAATCCTTTCTTGATGCATGTACATCCCTTGCTCTAAGTTCTAATATCGATTAGATTCAGTCTGGCACGTACAACTATGTCTATGGTTCAACTCTGAAATAGTTGAATTATTTATGGAAATAATCATTTAAAGATACGGTAATTTATATTTTAAAATATAATTAATGCTCTTTTGGAAAATGTTTTCAAATTTGGTATTCACAACGCGCACAAAAGCAACAATTTGCAAAATACACTTCAGTAACAATTCTCCCGAGACCTCGTAAAGCGGATTATAACGTTCATAAAACATTAAAATCATTTCCATAAAAGGATTGACTGTGAAAATCTCAAGAATCTCAATTACGTAATTGTTTGTGTACAGCCAGTACAGGTGGCCTGTTGGGGCTATTCATGGGCTTTAGTTTCCTTTCATTGGTGGAAATCGTCTATTTTGCGACGCTACGGCTGTGGTGCCGCGTTTACAAGAGTCGACACGCTCCTCACAATAATATACTACACGTGCAACCATTGGATTCGAATACGAATGGTATTTACCCATTTGTACAGTGATCTTCCCTAACCTTCTTTTTCAAGTTTAATGTTACACGTAAATAAATCAATTGTAAAAACTATTACAATCTGTAAAACAATGCAATACTATTTTGATTTACAAAAAGTGTTTTGTGTTTATTGCTAATTTTTGAAAATTTACTTTAAGCATATTTAAAAAATGCGGCATGGTTCGATAATGTAATTTCGCGATTATCTACGGTCTCCATTGTTCCGTGTACTAAGCACGTACAGGGTGGAATAATACGAAGTTAATCGAAGGTATACACACGAATAGAGGTGTCAATTTTGCCTTAAGAAAATAATCGCAATATTCATGGCGAGAGCACAACAGGTGTAACGGATATTGTAAAAAGGTAAAGTTATATTTTTTTTCTTGAAAAACGCATAATGGTGATAGTACATGATGAAAGTCAACAGAGTGCGCCCAATTACAGTCGGCTAACCCGACTTTAGCCGCAAACTGTACAAAGACGGAACATTATAAGCATATGACCATGTTATATCTATAATACTCTTGGCATGTAAAAAACTCAGTGTTTTAAATTGTTTCTTTCTTCAGATGTAATATAAATTTTCAAAAATAAAATCAACATGATAAGTAGAACACATTTACATTCTTACGAAAGCACATGTAACAAACAATAATTACAACATGAAATGTATTTAAGTCCGTTAATAATTTTGTAAAGCGATATTGACAGTCCTCTCTTAATATTGTTTATATTACTATTATCAAGTTTATGACGTAAGATAATTTTTATGCATACATGAATTGATTCAAAATCAATATGTGCGATTATTTGTGCATACGTTTATACATCTCTACCACATAACTATTCTAATTTTTGCAACAATAATACCTATTTTTGTTACTAGTATAACCATTTTATTGTTTTCTAACGTGAACTACGTTTGCGTAACTTACTACATATTTACCTACTAATTATTTAGTAGATTAATAAAAATGCGATTTCTTAAATTTTTACAACCGTACATCGTGATAAAAATAATTCTAATGTTGTGTAAAACTTACTGCTCCACGTAATTGTGCTGTTAAACAACGTGTTACACGAGGCAATTTTCACACTTTATTATAAACAATTACAACCTGTCATCGTAATATAATAACTAAAGTATGCAATAAAGTGAAAATATCAGTGTTCCACCTGCTTCTATTTATGTTAATCTGACTGTCACTTTTCTAAACTATCTATTCCTAATTTTGCAAAACACAACAGTTGCTTCGGAGATATGTAACTTTTTAAATGACTTACCTTTGGCGTGGAATTCTCAATGGAACTTTAACCGTAATCGGGTAACATTCTCAGGAACGCGTTGACGCGATGACAAGATATGGTGACAAATGGAAAATCGTCGCACTACACAAATCGCAGACACACAACCACTAAACACAATTCAGTAATCTCCACGGCGCCATGTTTATTCCTCTATGGCACGGGTGTGATTAAATTCACTTGCCATACAAAACCGTTGGCTAGAATCACGCCGTTCATCGAACTGTATGCGCATGCGTACCACAATCCGCGAACTTTCAAATATCATTTTTTTCTTAAACCACTCATATACTATCAAACTTTCAATTTTGATAAATTTTCAAGCTTCTTACTTATTATTATTAATTCATAGATTTTACCGAATTTTAAACTGTTCGCGAATATTTAATAATCTCCCGCCAATTAATTCGGATATTACAAATAAAAAGTCGAGGAATAAAAGTAAAGCTTTCGATGTGAAAAATATGTAAAAATGATTTCAGCTTGAGAAAAGCAATTGTTAATCTTATTATAGTTCAGGCGTATTTGTCTTGAACACGCATGTCCACTGAATAAAATTCATATGAGTCTTCAAAAATGAAAATGTCCCGTGGACATCATTTATTATTATACCTAATGTCTGATATAATCGTGCGCTAACTTTTTAATCGGTACGGTTTCCTTATCTAGGCAATAATCAATATGATACATGTTACATTCAAAATTATAATTCTAGTTATATTGACAGCAGACTAATCTAAAGTGACAATTTTTTTTTTCCTCTTACGACTGTTCCTTCATACAAAACGGTGTTCGCGCGCGCGCGCACGCGCGTGCGTCTGTGTATACACGCATTATAAGTTTCTTCACAGTGGCTTCACCACCGCGTGCTATTTTATCATTATTGTTATACTTTTGTTTTGTAAATAATTTTTTTCTTTCTCTCTCTCTCTCTCTCTCTCTCTCTCTCTCTCTCTCTCTCTTTCAACGACATCGTTCGAAATCAAAAAACACTTGAAACATTTTCCCTTCTTCACTTTCTTTCTTTTCTCTTTTGCTTCCTATCGAAAGATTTAAACAAAAACTAGCGGAAGTCGAAGCCAAAGGAAAGCGGAAGATTGAAACTTAATTTTAAAAGAGCGCATCGCGCGAAATACAATTCGCTTCGTCTATAAACACGTTACATGATAAAAAGTAAAACTTTTTCTTCTTCATTTAACTACATCCTCCATGAAACGTCATCGGTGTTCTCATGTGGCGGACAATGAGAATACCGAGGAGATCAATTTCGTTCGTCATGTACAAATTCGTGGAACAACGCGTTTCCGGTATTTCCACAGGCTCGACGATGAGAATACCGACGAACCGTCGGGATCCTCCGTGAAAAAAGACGAAAATAATAAATTCATCTCTCTTATCGTCACCGTCAATCGTCTTCTTCCTCTTCTACCTTACAATTTTTTATGTATAACTTTACATTCCTACTATAGTTTAGCTTATAGAAAGTGCGTAGATCTTGAAAAATTTGTTCTTTCTTTTCTTTCTTTACAATGACAAATGAAAAAATATCTCGATAGATACCCTGAAAATAAATTATTACGTTAAATATACAGTCTCACGTCGTTAAGATTCGTATGGTTTACCAATGTTCCATATTTTTTTTATTTTTCCTGTTGTTGCGATAGAAAATTATGAGACTTCCTTACGTTATTATTATAATTTTTTTTTTCTTTTCCTATCATTTTGCATTAGTTTCTTGTTTCCTTTAACATTATTATTATTATTATTCATTTCTTTTTCAAAGTAGGATGTCTCCTTATTATCTTACAAAGAGGCCATTTTTCGACTCTTCTCTCGCATCTCCTTCCATCCCCACAGTCTATATATGCTCAGAGATATCGTCCCCTTCTTTTCTCTGTATTTTTTTTTTTATTTATTTTCTTCCTCTAATCCGCCCCACTTCAGAAGACTTAACAATACGACAATGAACAGATAATTTAATAGGAACGTGTTTTATTATCAAAAATTCGTATGATCAGCATTATTGCCCATACAACGTGGTGTCATGTAAAAATTAATCTATATCGCGATAGGACTGCATATTTCCTTGTTTATTTATTTTTTTTTCTTCCATTTATCCTTCCTCTTGCTTTCATTTATTTATTTATTTTTTTCTCATTTTAATTAAGAAACTCCGTAAAATTGCACGCTATGCCTAAGTTCTATTCCATGGTTTCCCTCCTCCTCCTCCTCGCTTCGTCGTCACCTTTTCTTTTTTTCTTTTATTTATTTAAACCTTTACGAATATGTTTCTACATTAATGCGGTGTAGTCAGTACCGTATACCGTGTACTCGTATCTCCCTCCCCCTTCCCTTTTTTTTCTTAACTATTTTCTACCCTTCTTCTCGCTTGTGATTCTTTTGCTTTTGGCTAAGACGATCAGAAGTATCGTTACCGAAAGGAAAGGAAAAAAAGAGAGAACACGAATCGGAAAAAAAAAGGTAGGAGAAACGCAAAAAGTTCGTTTTTCTTTTCCCTTTTGCGTGTACGCAGTTTTTAACGAGGAAAGTGTTTTGTACAAAAACCCTTCGTTTCTTCGATCGAGCACGGACGAAAAATCTGTACACGTTACAAGACTTATTACAATATATACCTTATACAAAGTTTTATTTTTTTTTTTTTACGTATTATTCGCCTCGATACGTCCGATTAATCCTTATCTGGACGTTAACGTCGTCGTGTTTACCCATTTATATATATTATAAAATACTGTTGCGAGGAGAGCCGTTCGTTTTGCTTCTTTATTTCGTTATAGCTTTTTTAATTCCTTTCATTGTTCTCTTCCATCCAGATAAAGATTAACTGTGTGTGTGAGTGAATGGCGTGCGCGAGAGTTCATTAAGCCGTCAGTCCTTCGGTATTTAATAACATGATCGCAACAAAAAAGGGTCGAATGTTTTAAGGACACTGATCTGTCTTCTATGAATCCATTATCGACGACAAAATTCGCAACATCTCTCTTCCGCCGCATTGAGAATGTCTTTCCTACGTGTAATTACAAAGAATTTCGCAACGACCCCGAAACCTCGACCCTTAACAAACATCTGAACGATCAAGGAAGGATTTTCTCGATGACAAATAAGAGTTTCTATTAATACAATTGTGAACATAACGCAAGAAAATAATTTCATCTTCTCCTTTCTTTCTCTATGTTTTACAATCGAATTCGTGAGCTTATGTACAATCAAAGAATCAAATAGATCAGGACATATTCTCCCCCGTGAGGCTCAGGAAGACGCTTCCAGGCGTTTCGATTAAAATGGAAGCTCCGAATTTTCGTTCTCGTTCGCGTTTATAATTACTTCATGTTGACGTGGTAAAATTGCAAGGAGCCACGTAACCGCGTTTCAATATGCATCGTCAGTGTTTTTCCATTGATGTGACCAATTCGCTAAATTGAACATGGACAATGTTTATTGGCAAAAATGGCACTGAGAATACTCGTCCGTCGGACATCGTGATTAAATTGGGGTTGCTTTTATTTAGAAACGGCCCCGTATCTCCTTCGACAAATTACCACGACCGCGGTTACTAAAATTACTTATTTATCTAGGACTTCGTTACTTACAAATCCCCGTCGACCATTCATCAACCGTCGACGGGTCTTTTCTCCCTTCTTTTTTTTTCTTTTATTAATGTAGGTACAATATTATAAAAGTGCGTTAATTCGTTCGAAAAAAAGGGCCCGGAGCTTTGTCGATACAAAAAGTCTCGCTAATTTTCACCGGCAACTCGGCACTGCTCAAAACAATTAGGGGGTCACACACTTCGTGTCCGGACCTGATTCTGAAAACAAACGAACTGAATTTTAGAAACAGAACTGAAACGATATCGTAACTTCTTTTTTTTATCATCGAAAAATTAAAATATCCTTACCAAGATCCGTTAAACTGGTGATCCCGTAATTATTTTGAGCAGTTTACGTTAAATTGCGTCTAAACTCTAGTACAGTTTCGAGCTCTCGCCTCAGGACTCGATTAGATTAAGGATCGTGTTCTTTTTTTTTTTTGCTTATCGTACTTTCACTCGCTTAATCGAACGAAAGTGAGTCGGTTCGTAAAACGCTACGATTAGAGCCCTCCTCTTCGACCTGGGGACATCGTACAATTAGTGATATATTTACAAAACTCTGCTCTCCCATGATAGTACTGTTACAAAAGAGCGAAACCATT